TTGTTGCCAGAAGCAAGGCTAAAACAAGAAATCTGAACATTTTGATTCGTAAAATTAAACATAATTATATGTAAAGTTTTATTGGGCCTGTATAAAAATAGAACAAACACGCAGACCAGATGTTGTTACATCAGGAACAACGATAATTACATTAACTGTGCACAGTTGTCAAGCTCTAGATGCGATGGCCATAAAATACTGTTTGTCTATTATAGTTGTTGCAGCAAAGATTTTATTTACGCAACGTTGCCATATTTCACTAACTACTTAAAGCCGCCGAAATTGCTCCCTAAAAAGAACTATTCTCTTTGTTATGAAAATATTAATAGATTCAACAAAGAGAGAATCTTGCTTGAATCTTCTTTTCATTTTTCAGAATTGTACTGATATGCTTCAAATAGATGTCACATCATTAGTTATTAGTAATAGTTAGTACCACAATACACATTCGGTGGAATTTTATTTTGTGAAATAAAAATTAATGTAACAAGACTAGTCGAAATTTTTCCGAAAAAAAAAATACATAGATTTGAAGAAATGGTTTGCAACTTGGCAACACGGCGTAACCGTACATCCACAGTTTTTCCAGCTATTTAAAACCCGTCTACGTCGATGAACTCTCAGACATGAATATGTATTTATTCGTACTTCAATTATTACATTCCATAACACTGATGAATAGAAAATTTATTTTATAATAGTAGAGCGTATGTATATGTATAATATAATTAGGAAATCTCCATAAACCGCTATTGTTATAACCATTGCGGTTCTCGAAATCGGATGTTTTTTACCAACGACGGTATGACAGAAATTCATGAGACTAATACACACTAGTCACAAAAATTAAAGGATAAAAAGGATCGTACATTTTTAGGAGATTTTCAAAACGCTGTAATTTCGCGAAAAATGGTGGTAGAGCAACAAGAAATAAAGCAAATTGAAGCTTGAAGTTTCTAGTTTCAGGAGACGAAGTCAAAAATGTTTATCGTTGACCACCTTTAATAAATCCAGCGAAAAAAAAATTGGAAATTTAAAAAGGTAAAAAATTGCGCATTGGTTTTCACTAAACTTGAAATAATTTTACAAATGAATGGACGAAGACTAAGAATACTTTCGTTTTTTTAACCAAGTATCCCAAAGAAACCCTCGAGAGTACAAATTGCTGCGATTTTTCTTTCATTGTGATCAGAATGGTTGAAATTATCATTTTTGCTAAAAATCAATGAAATGATAAATTTTCATCTTTTAATCATTTTTGTAAATTAAAGATGATTTTTTTTCGCAAAAATTCTTGTTTTTAAAATAAAAAAAATGTCGAATCGAAAAAAGAAAAAAATTTAAAAAAATTGCTTTGAATGGCCGATATCTCAGCAACAATTTACCGTACAAAGCTTCAAAACAGCTCAAGTTAAAGAGGATGAATCAAACTAAAGGGCTGACAGCTGGAATTGCCAAAAAAAATTATTAAAACTCATGGACCTTTAGAAAGACAAGTAAACATTTTGAAAAAAATTTTCGCTGGGTTTCTTGCGATTTCTTAAACAGCCTTTTGAAAATCACCTAAATAATTAAGATTTTTTTTGTCCCTTAATTTGTGTGACTAGTTTATATAAAATACCTTAAAATTTCGCAAATAAACACATTGTTCTGTACTTCAAGGCCAGTCAAATTGTCGAAAATACCTCATTATTGCCTTAATTTAGTTCAGTAAACAAAAACATAAAAATTAGGAAAAATTCCGTAGAATTGAATGGACTACTTTATTCCAGCTGAATGTTAGGGCTTCGTTTTCAAAAAGTCGTCCAAAGTTCACAAAAAACAGTTTTTTGCATTTAAAAAAATTGAGTTTTTCGAAAAAAATTTTTTTTCAAGATTCAATAAATCATACAGTAATGCACTTACGCGACCCATCTTGGGCTTAAAATTTTCTCCAAGAGGTGTACTTTCCTGTGCAAATTGTGCGTGTATTGCAAATTAATCGAAAATATGCGAAAAATCTACCGAAACTTTGACTTCTTTTTTTCAGGTCGAAAAATGTAGATCTTTTTCTTATCGTTGAAATTTAATCGGAATGGCGTTATTGCCATTTGAAAGCTGACATTTCTTCACGAATTTAAAAAAAATGTACGATCAACAGTAGCCGAAAAAGTGCATTACTGTACGATTTATTGAAACTTGGAAAAAATATAATTTTTTTCGAAAAATTCAATTTTTGCAAAAAATATAAAATATTTTGCAATTTTGCAAAAGTGCACTTATTCTACTTGTCAAGGACTACACATTCTGAAAGTTTCGTAAACAAATCTTTTTTCGTTTTAAAGATATAGAAGTTTTTTAAAAATTGCGATTTTTGGCCGTTTTTTTGCAATAACTAATTCATTTGTTTATCAATTGAAATCGAGCTGGGCTCAAAATTTTTGTTATTAAAAGTTCTACAACTTTTATCTAAAACATTTTTTCCTAAAATGTTTAGCTTTTTTTGAAAATGAATCCGTAACATTCAGCTGGGGCAAAGTAGTTCATTCAATTCTACGGAATTTTTCCTAATTTTTACGAGTCTTTGTTTACCAAATTTTGGCTCGTAAAAATCTAATTTGATTGGATTACGAGTATTATACGTTCTTACATAACCTTCTGTACAATGAAATTAGAAGAAATGCAATAATATTCGTTGCATTTCAAACTATCGTATTGTCCGGCTGTGTCGAGGCAGAAATTTTCCTTTTATCTCTCTGTTATCACGCACCGAAAAAATTACAAAGTTAATTGACGTTTTAACGGTGATAAATATGTTTCAGTGTTACACTTGATGGAATGACTCACGATTAAGTGTAATAAAAATCGCAATAAAAATTGTTTGATGACTACCGAAACACAGTCGTACAACGATGCAGTGTCGCTATCACCCTTGCTCGTAAAACGAAGAATTGAACTCGAATTAAAACAATTTTAATCAAACGCTCGAAATGTTTGTTAACTCGGACTTTATCTATAATCTAGTACACATAAATTTTGAATGACCTCACCACCGTATTGATTAAACCGTCTTAATTACTTTACGTTAGGTACCTAGAAATAAAAACGGTCTAGTTATCAGACTATTTAAACCACAAATATGTAATTAACGTTAATTTACACCTAAGCAATGCGTGTTTTTAATACTAATGTATTTTTATTCACAGGGAGAAAATTAAATAACTAACAAACTTACAAAACTGAAAGTGACGCACTTTTTTTTTTTTTTTTTAAAGATCCAGCGGTTTTTAATTGAAATTAACGCCTTTAATGACGCTATTGTGACTGAAAAACAAACAAGAATAATTATTTTTAACTGAAAATATACGTAGTTATTATATTTTCGCACGAAAACATGTTTTAAAACGACACCTGCCCTTTATGTGACCCTTGAGGCACACCTGGTAGGTGGTATCTGGATTCGACCGTGTCGGAGTGTTTTTTGCGTAGCACTATTTCCTAATTCGAGCTAAAATTTAAGCGCAACACTTCCTTTTTACTACAAAATCGTTACATTTTATTTTATTTATTTAAAAACTGGAAAACAATTGCCTTGAAATTTACTAACTGTTTCACAGTAATAGCTGTTTACATTTTGTCGGAAGGACAAGTCTGCCGGTCTGTACAAATGGTGTGCAGCAGCAGATTAAGCGCTGTTGCCACGTTGTGATGAAAATTCCCCAATATTAATACTCGCTGTAATATACAACTTTTTTTTGTTCATTTATGGTTACTCTACTTCATGCTGAAGTAATGGCAGTGAAATTTCTTACACCCTGTATTTCCAAGTTTTACTGTGAAACAACTTGTGTAAATATGCACAGCAAATAATAATGCATCACAGAAAATCCACATTGGTTAATCTATGGGTAAACATAATTCAATAGCTTCTATGGATAAATAACAAATTCTGATGTAATCACTCGAATTAAAATTAAATCGTTTGTAAGTACATTTCGTTTGGAGGCTGACAACACACTTTAGACAAGTGAATGTGAAGCTTTATTTACCTGTCACTCTGAGATTCTACAAGGTGGTCCAAAAGAGAACGTTTTTTCAGGCGCAAGATTTGAATTTTGCGCCACTTGCGTGGTGGAGCGTTGCCAACGAAAAAAAAAACGCGAAAGAACAACGCGTTTTCATTGTTGAGCAATATTTTAAGATTAACGAAAGTTTGGCAGCTATGATTCGCAATTTTCGTACAAAATATTGTCGGAATAGTGATTACCTTCATCAATTGTGAAGAGATTGAAAAATTCGGGGTGACTGGATGAGTTAGTGATCAGCAAGTCGTTCAACGCGAAACATCGAAGCAGCTCGTGAGGGTGTTGCTGAGATCCAGGAACATCAATTCATCTCCGAGGTCAAGAATTGGACATTTCAAGAAGCTATTCTCACGAAAGATTTGCATTTGAAGGCCATTTACCGGATACGTCATTCCATTTTTAATTGAAAACCTGTGTTTTGTATCAAAATTACTTCTTACGTGAATTTAGGCACACCCCTTAGTTTTATATACTGTTAAAATGATTTTGCGGACATCCTAACTGGCACCTTGCTGAGATAATAACAAGAAAAAGAGCTTAAAATGTGGTCGGCAATTAAGAAGGTGTTACAAACACGGTTAAAGCATTAAAAACAAATCACGGTAATTTGATAATTTGCAACTTCCTATACAAAGTCTAACGAGGAATTTCCTTTTAGCTAAACTGACGACGTGGCATATCTGCCAACGGGAAGTCTGACAATGCGGCAAGTGCCTGTTTTAATTAATCGTATTTAAGATTTAAGAAAAAATATTCGTTCACCCTGTATAAGCGACACGGTGGAGAAAACCCAAATATGAGATAAGCGTTGTTTATTTTCACAGGTAATAAAAATAACTTGTTATATTATGTAAATAACATATTTAAACATTAGCGAAGGCCAAACAAGTTAGAATTTATCAAAATAATGTAAGGAATAGTCATAAAAAAGCTTACCCAACGATTTCATGAACTCATCGAAGTTTTCGCTAGAGCCGAGCTTGTATTTCTTTCCCAAAAAAGAGTCAACCATTTTGATCAGGTTTCAGTCTAAAAAAAATGTTAAGGGATCATTTCCAACATCTTTACCTTCAAATTTCGTTGTAATAGCCTTTAATTTACGAATTACCGATAAAATTTTGACATCACAGTTCTAGTAGATGTAGCATAAATATACAGAGTGCGTACAAAATTACATTAACACCCAAAATAATGTTTCGATCGTTCAAATCTTTATTAAAAAATCCCCTTCTTAAAACACATTTAAATTATAGATTTTCGTAAAGGCTTTGGACAAAAAAAAACATTTGCACTATTTCACGAATAGAATTTGGCTTCATTTTTAAACAATATTCATTAGAAAAATTGAATTTAAAAAAATTAAGACCTTACGTCTAGGGCGGCGGATTTCATTCAAAACAATCGAAAAACTCACCGGTAAAGCGGAGCAAATCTAGCGGCCTGATATCACGGCACTCTCGAATCTGTGTATAGGTAACAAGTGACTGATCTGCTCTCCACGAGTTAGCGGTAGTCCGGGGGCTGGCAAACAATTGAGAATTAGTCCAAAACAAGCGAACTATAGTCGGTCACGCCACCCGGTTCCCTTGATATTAGGTTAAAATAGGGACATGCGCAGTGGGGACTCCGTAGGGGGTATTATTAGCGCGAATAAAGTCCGTAGGGAAAGGAGGGGGGGGGGGAGAGAGGAATAACGATTTTTAGGGCGTGATCTTCGTTTCCGTTCCATAGCCAAAACCCTAGGAAGAATATCTTTAAAATAATTAATGTTTTATTTGTCACTTAGGCGATATAGCTTGTTTATTAGTAAGAAACGGAACAGGAAAACAACGTCATATCACTGTAGGGCGAAATAAGCTGACCTAAATATTATTTTGACCCTATTTTGTACCCTTATTTTCTGCAAGGGTAGAATAGTAAATGTGCCTTGTATAAATAAAGCAGACAAATGAAAGTACAAAGTTTATTAACATTAATATTTGATATACAGGGTCGGAAAGTCCCCATGGTTCATCGGCCGTTACTGAGAGCGATAAAGAAAGTCATAGAAATCCGTGCGATAGAGAAAGATGGCTATAATGAAGGCGTCTAATAGTCACCGCTCATTTCGCCCTTCCACAAATAAAAAGTGGATCTTTTTCAAATTGAACACCCTGTGTATCATGATTAGATGCCTTTCTATAGACCCTACTATTTTTTAATAGCTTTCCCTATACCTAAGTTGCGTAGTTTTTGCAAAAAAAAAAACATTTTTATGTAAAATACCGGATTTGCACCCGTTCCTTTGTCCGGAAAAATATTGTAGGGGTATTTATTTTAACTTAGCTTGCGACTATGAGTATTCTTTTTTCAAAATTCTATTCATCCAAATTTTTTAATCTCCAATTTCACTATTAACTTTCCTAACTACGGTAACAGTGCTTGATTTTCAATATGATACGGATGAAACTTCTTCTTCAATATTTTATTTGTCAAGCTTTTGAAAACTCCAAGGTTACTACTAATTTCCTAGCACTAATATTTGGATTTTCAACAGCAGACGCCACAACTTTAAACTAAATATTATCGTTGTTACTTTCATGTCTCCTGGTAGTTTTCTCATAATTCGCATTTGCTGTTCATTCAAACCTTTCCTTCACATTTTCAAAACAGTGGGAATCTCTGTAAATTTGGATTATTTGCTTTGTAAATACGTGCTGCTAGCAAACATTTCCCATATTTTGCTAATTCTTAATCACTTGTAGCGATTTTATGTTTTTTTTATTTTATATACAAATAAATGGTAACTTTCCATAAAGACTTATTTATTAAACTCAAATAT